GGAGGAGGAATTCAGAGCTTGGCATTTGCTCCCCCCTCGCAGTGAATAGATCTTACAATCGAGGGGCAGCGAGTTGCCCAGTTCACCTCTGAGATAACTGAGCGGGCGCATTCCAGTAAGGGCCGTGCTCCTGGACAGAGGCTGCTGGGATGGGGCACGCAGCCCGACAGCAGGGAGAGTCGACCCTCTGGCGACTGCGCCTGCGTCCCTTCCGCTCGGCTGTACCAGGGCTGCCTGCCCGCAGGGCTGTGTTCCGCTGGCCGTAAGCCAGAGCAGCATCCTGGCAGCCCTCCACTGCCGGATCAGACAGCTTCTGAACGAGACGAGCCGCGTCAGAGGTGCCTCTCTGCTGGCAAAGAGCTGATGCTCTAAAGCAGAAGAGGTCATCTGCCTGCCAGACAGGACGTTTTCACCACAGGTTTTAAAATTTAGGGTGAGCTGTCTCCCTCCCACAGCGCTGTCCTTGGACGCTGGACAAATCCAGCCCTTATCGACCGTGTCTCTCGGTCCGAGTCACGATGCAACTAATACTCGATTCCATTCTACTGAAGCCAGTTTCCCCCTGCTCCCTTGCAGCTTTTACAGCAGGAGGGAAAACACAACGGGGCTCCAGCGCCCAGAGCAGACAGACCCACATCCCGGCCGGCTTTCCGATGCGGGAGGCCCGTACCTGTTGTGTACCAGCTCGGCCATCAGTTTGAGGACGGGCGTAGTGCAGGCTGGGTCGTGGTACCAGAGCTCGATCGCGCGCTGGAGGATTGGCATGTAGGATGGGTAGCTGCCAGGGGGAAGCTGAGGAAATTGGTTGCTGTGCATGAAAAGGCCACGATTTCTACCAAAAAGCCCTATTTTCTTTCCCCTGTACGGCAGCCAAACCTTGCAAAGGAGCTTCCTTAACAAGGTTAAACAGGGATGCTGCTTGCTGGGGTCTGCTTTATCACAGGAAAAATAATCATCTGAAGTCCGCTGAAGGAGTTGTATACCAGGACAAACCAGAAAGGTTTTGAAGGAAAGGGAAGACAGACACAAAGGTCTGTCACTGCAACCGCAGCCCCTCGCCAGCCAAAGAGAAATGAGGAGCCCAGATCCTGTGCTCATGGAGCAGCAACACTCTCCCCAAGAGGAGAAAGATGCTGTTGGCTTTTGTGAGCATGAGGAAAGCTTTTGTTGCTGCTCGGACACCAGCATCCCATTAAAGGCCTTTGTGCTTTACAGGTCAAATCTCTTTAGGTTCAGTTGGAAAAACCCCAAGAGTTCAGATTTCTAGGTTGACTGGGTTGCAGACAGACCAAGTCAAATCTATTTTAGGGCTTAGAGAGAGGACACCGAGTACTAAAAAAGCAACGAGTCAGGATTGAGCAGGGAAAATAGGGCATTTGGATGCAGTCAGCCGGAGTTCTCCCTGCTGGCAGATGGGGTGACTCAAGTTTTGGGGTAATGGAAGGATACATCCACTCAAACAGCATCATGAAGCTGGTCTTGGCATTGAAGGCAAACGCTATTCCCCTCAAGTCTCTCACCAAACCAACCAAAGTTCTCTGCATGGCAAAAGAGGAGAAAGGTTAGAACGTGACACACGTGTGGATCTCTCCTTCCCCGGTTCCACCAGCCACTTCCCCTCCTCTCATCCCAACAGCCTTTCTCTGCTGGATGCCCACCCCAGGTCCGACAGTTCCTCCTCTCCAGGGCCAAATCCCGCTTTAACTGGAGCCAGTGCAGTGACAGTGCTGGGGTATTTCCCTCCCAGCTTAGGAAAGCCGGCAGACGAGATCCCTGCTTCAGTGCGGAGCTACACTCAGATCCCAAGGGATACAAGGAACATCACTGCTTCCCCACACACTGGAAGAGAAGCACCTATCGCTCTGCACTGGTATCGCCCAGAGGGTGGAATGGCTCTCGCCCCGCAGAGTTATTTGTTTTCTCCTGTCTGAACTGAAAATGCCAAAGCTCCCAAGGGAATGAGCAGGGAGAGCCTGGTAAACAGGGAAGCTCCTGCCCGACTTACTTTTGCCTCTTGTTCATTGAAGGTATTTGTGCTGAACATCTGGGCCACCGTCTCAAAGGCAGCTGTGAGGGGGAGCATGAACTGCTCATACTGATCCTCATCCTCCCCTGGAAGGAAAAGAGCAATCCCGAGGAAATCAGACTGCACATCCCCGTGCTGGACACTGCTCACGCATGGAGCTAAAGATCTGGAGACCACAGTTTCCAGACAGGTCATTTGTCCCTGCCAGTATCCGACCCAGAGCCCTGCCACCTCAGGAGAACACTGGGAATGCTGTGATGGGGAAGTTTAGTCCCAGCCTCGGTGGTGTGCACCTCCGCGCTACCCGTACCCAGCAACGTGGCACCAGGCTCACTCTCGAGCTTCTCTCCCCTCCTTTTTCTTACCCCACCTGGCTCCTCCCATTCCTGCAGGAGTTTACAGCTCCCTAAACAGCAGGACCTGTGCTGCAGAGCCCAGCACCCAAACCACAAAGCCACCACTCTGCTCTGGATCCCAGGAAAAGACCCGAGTACCTAAATCCACCATGAGGAGCCGCCCCAGTGCAGTGTAGAACGTAGTCCGACACCTCATGTCAGTCAGGTTGGACTGATTGTTAATGCCCAGGAAGGAAAAGTGCTCGCTCTGCAAACGGAAGAGGAGAGACGAGTTAAACGGGAACCACCGCCGCGACCGGGCTCCTGTGGCCGGGGCTGAGGATCCCTTGTTCCCCCCTGTTTCTCACAGGGATGAGGAGCAGTGAGGGATCTCACTGACCACCGCCACCTCGGGGAGCGGGAAACACGCCGGCACGCCCCGGAGAGGTCTGCTGCAGATACCAGCCCTATCGCCTCTCCTCTTGGAATTCATCAGGACCGGATGAGCAGGGAAGTCTTGCTTTGCCTCCAGAGCAGAGGAGCAACCTGCTCCCCCTACTCATGGGGATCTTTCAGGCATTAAGGTTGCTGAAAACCAGCCCAACGCACGCTGATCCCCAGTTACTCTGGGGAATGATTTTCCCAGTGCCCACGGAAACAGTAACTCCGGACAATGCAGCTTCTGGGCCAAGGACAGGACATGGGACTGGCTGCAAAACATCCCCTTAGCTCAAGGAGTGCAGCGTCTCGCTCATCCAGCCAACGCAAACCTTCCGGATGCGGTGCTGGCAGCGCTGTGGCTGTGGCACGGGAACACGGAACGACCGCGAGCTCCCAGAGGCAGGTCAGAAATCCAACAGTTCGGCTTCTCTTTGCTCCCGACATTTCCGACTTCAAGGCAGCATCCTGCATCTGCACAGGGAGCGCCACCCCGGCAGCGACCAAGGAACAAGGCTGCTACCCTGACCGGTGCAAGCGACGGCACTCCTGCCACGGCAGCGCTCCCGGAAAGAAGGCCGGGGCACGGAAACGCCGGGACGTTTTGCTTTCCGTCACACGAATGGCGCTCACTGCTGTCTGCCTGCACGCGCCGCAGCGTCAGCCGACTCCGGCGTTTCGCTCCCGGACGGCTGTTTTTTGGTGGGGAGCAGAGATCCCCACGTTCACCCTTCCGGGGTGAAAGGCACCACCTAATTACAGACCCTCAGAATCAAAGGGCAGGCTTTGAAGAGAGAGACAGCGCATGGAACATGTTTTTCCAGAGGCTCATCCGGTACAATGGAAGCATCTGGGAGACGGGTGAACATCCAAAGCGCATCCAGGTGTCAAACCGGGGGATTTTCTGAGCTGTCCGAGGACTCTGCCGCGCGAAGCGGGAGGTGAAAGGACTCACCGTGTGATTGTTCAGCATGAACTGTACGGCGCTCAGTTTCACCAGCTTCCGGACGCTGCTGTACGTGAAGGGGGTGTTAAGGAAGCAGCGGAAGTTCTAACGAGGCTCACAAAGCACTTTCCAGGGCAAAACCGGAAGGGGACTTGCGTCTGTATTATTCAACACATTCTAGCCTCCTCCACATGTTCCAAGAGCAACCAAGTTGCATAAATCTCTAGAGACCTGCAGTAACCATTTTTACTTACTCTGTCAGGAAGAACAAGTAGAAGACCACGAGACAGAGGGTAAATAAATTAACCGTAGCCAGCAGGCTACAGATGATGGCACCCAACAAAAACACCCCCAAAACAACTGCGCTGCAGCCATCCGCTGCACCTCAACAGCTGGGAACGCAGTCTCTGCTCTTCTCGCTACCCGAAAGCGAAGCGGTTCGGGAACGTGTCGGCCACAGAGCGCTCCTGTTCCAGCCCAGCATCCACGCCGCTCGTCCCCCATCCCGAGGTTCTGCGCCCCCACCGGGCTCTTGCGAAAAGGATATCCGATGGAGAGGTCGTTGAGCAGCTGGAGCGTCTTGGAGGTGATGGGCTCGCAGCGACCCCAGTACTTCAAGTTGGTGATGCTAGGGAAGAGGACAAACAGGGACCGATCAGAGGGGTTTGCTCGGCTTCCCCTTCGCTGTGCGGCGGATTGTTTCAGTTGAAAAGTCACCCAACATCATCAGCTCCACCCTCCACCGAAACCACAGACATCACAAGCCACAAAATATTGGTATAAAATTACTGTACTTACATTTGGTTGACTAGAAAATTATCCTTCAGATAATCTTCACTACTTGGGTCCCAAGCTACACTGGCCCATACCCAGGCCCTTGGAATTCTGTGGCACTCCAGGGCTGGTTTCTGCAGCAAGGGTAAGAGAATTCTGCGGCAGTGACTACATGCAGACGTATGCAATTCTGCACCTGCACCATCCACTGTCAGCTGCAGAATTCTAGTAGCCCTTGCTTCTTCCAGGAGAGCCGTTTCACCCCTTGGGGACCACGCGCAGCCGGGGCGCGCGAGGGTTAAGGCAAGGCCCCGGGCACGTAAAGGCGGGGGCGATGCTAAAGAAGTCGAGGGGAGGGGGCTGTGTGTCGCCAGGCACACGGCACTGGGCGTCACGCCTCTGGGGCTACTGGATTGATTTGGAATGCTGACGGAGGCTGGCAAAGACATGACAAAAAGCCAGTCGACAGGTTGGGTCCAGAGAGCCGCCGAGGAACAGGCCGAATAGAGCCTAGCAGAGTTTTATGAACAGGACCTGTGCTACTCTGGTACTGAACGGCACGGTTTGACGAGGAAAAAAATACCTCTGCAGGAGCACTTCCCTCCCCAAAAAGCTTTCGTGGCTGGTGATTGCCAATAGTCAAGTGATAGGGCGTGAGAGCTTGAGGCTGTCCCCTCTCTCGCTTTGGTTCTACTAAGCAGGCACTGGAAGGAGAATCCGTTATCCTGGCGTAGGGTTTATTTTTGTGTCTCCATAGCCCGGGCTAGAATCCACGGTGGATAAAATCAATCCTGGATACTGTGCGTGACTTAAGCCCTGATAAAAGCTGTAATTCTCTCGAGTAGCCAGATGTCACTAGCTTTAGACTGAACAACACTCCCCCACATTCCAGTTTTCCTGGTTCCACCTTCACACAGACCCTGGAATCTCCGATGCCGGCGAGCGGGAGCACTTACATTTTTCCTATGAAGACGCTCAGGACCATGGTCTCATCGTTCAGCCCCAGGACCTCCGAGAGCCGGCGGTACAGCTGGAGGGGGAAAAACGACACCAATTGAAAAGCTGGCAAGAAAACAGGTTAAGGACGAAGGATTATTTGGTTTCGGCTTGTTCTCCCTTCGTGGATAGCTCTGGGCTATCCCAGATCGGCCAACCAACGCACAGAGATGGCTGGTGATGCGATCCAGACCAAAACCTGCCCCGACCACTGCTCCCTCTTTCCTACTGGTCAGAGCGGGTTTGGATACCGCACGCAGAAGCTGGGCACCTGCTTTTCCTAGGGAAAGGGGATGTAACTGCTCCTCCATCCTCACCTACACACAGGATCTTAGTGAATTTATGTGGAACTCCTAAGTTCCTCGTCACACCACTGCTCCAAAGCCTCCGGGGTGGCCACGGATGGTCACAGGTTAATAGAAAACTCATGCTAGAGTAACAATTTTCCCATTCTTTACAGCTTTTTTTTTAATTTAAAGGAGGTATTTTGCATCTCTGGAGATGCAACAAGGAGTTCAAAGCCCAGTGGCCTTGTGATGAAGAGAATGGGTGTGTATCTTCACGTCAGAGCCGAGGAAGCCAGGCACAGCTGCTAAGCTCGGGCTCCTCAGGGGTGTCAGAGGTGCTGCGACCCGCACGTTTTCAGGCTGAGGGGCCTCATCTGAAGCCACAGCAGAAACCTGGCAGGTAAAACTGAACCCAGGCCTCGAGTCCTAATCCCCAGCTCCTTCCCGGTGCGTACAGAGCACGGTGTTTGCCATGGAAACACCGGATATGCAGCCAGAAAACACAGCAGGCAGGTGTCTTCATTTTTTTCAGCTATAAAGAAGAGAAACCAAGTACCGCCACTTTCCTTCAGAAAGGGAAGCGATTACTGGTGTTTGTGTCACCAAAGAGACGTAGCCAAGGAGGCAGATTACCTTGGAAGACTTCTGCACCTGATCTCCAATATAGATCTTCCGGAACTGCTCAAAGAAGCTCAGCATGGCGAGCTCCAGCTTCTCATTCCCGGCCTGCGCCAGCCGAGAGTCCGTCAGGTTCATCAGCTGCAGTACTCTGGAGAGGTGGGAAAAACACACCTTTGCTGACGGATGCTGGGAGGAAGGAGGGATTCCTGGCATGTGGTGTTTCCAGGCCGCCGCGCAAGGATTTACTTTCTGTGGGCACTGTCGTTTTGGGTCAAGAACTGACAAAACGGATAGCGAAACACTGACTGGGGTGCATGCCTCTTCCGTGCAAGGCCACTACAAGGTTCCACATCCCTTCCTACAGGGATGCAAGGCCTCGGCTTTAATTTGCTGCAGAGTTTCGGGTGCTTTAGCGCTCACCCAGACCAGTCCAGCCTGTTCTCACACCCACCTGAGAAACCTCTACCTGCTCCCCTCGCAAGAGCCAGACCCTAAACGACAACCCCAACTGCAGTTTGGGTTTTGTCGGGAGCCCTGTGGAAACAACGCTGCAACCAGGGCAGGGGCTGGAAGAGCAAACCTCGCCAGCCAGGGAGGGATTTTAGGGCGAGTAAAGCACACGCAGCAGAACAGGGGGGCACAAAAGCAAGGAAAAGACTCGTTTTGGCAAGTGCTGCAAAGCACAGAGTGGGAAAGAAGGTAAAATAGACTTCAGGGAGCTGGGATCACGTACGCTGGCACTGGAGGTGGCGGAAATATATACGAGGCCTCACTGTTTCCCCTTAGTAACTCATCAGGCACACGGGAAGCCAGAGCTTGATGGTATTTATCAGCCACAGCTTACCAAGGGGCCAGCTTCCCTGTGTTCAGTTTAGCTCCTCTCCTGCCCCAGCTCCCAGGCAGAGCGATTAGGCTCTGGACCAGATGGCACTCTGCGTGCCTCCAGGTTGTTCACGAGGAGTTAGCTGCGTGTTCTCACATCCCTCAAATACAGCCTGCACCGGAGAGGATTTACACCCCGACACCCCAGCACGTGTTAGAAGACAGTATAAAGTTCTGACAGTGCTATGGCATTCGCAGCCCATTTAAGGGCAAAACTCACTTTGGATTATTAATGAGGAGAAATACTTTTCCCCTCAACCCAGCAAAAAAGCATCATGCATTTAGTTCTGCTCCAAGGCATGCATTTAAGCCTGGTGTAATTGCCCTCCCACACGCTCT